TCTCTCTCTCTCTCTCTCTCTCTCTCTCTCTCTCTCACACACACACACACACACACACAAACACAGAGGCACAACTGCAGATGCGGCCCATATAATGATATAAGAATGTTTTGCTTATGGTGTGCAGAGATGGACTTCTTGCGGATTTGGTGGAATTTATTTGAATGGAATTTATGATATTCCTGAGTGGTTCAAAATCGTCAATGATGTGGACAATATCGTCTTCTTTGAAGTTCCTCAAAGAATCATGGGTCGTGATTTAAAAGGGTTGACTATATGCTTCGTTTACTCTTCAGACAAGCAAAAATTCTTAACAATGCATATTTGCATTATCGTTAAAAATCTTACCAAACAAACTGCTTTGCACACCAAGATAGCATTTGCCTCGGTAAAAACTTCTAGTAAACCTGAAGACCATTATCTTTGGCAGGGACAATTGTCAAACGATGTGCTCCGTTTGGAAGGCGGGGACGAAGTCCTCATTCTTGTAAGGCCTGATGATGTTGACTTTGTGAGAGTGAAGAAGACAGGGGTTCATCTAGAATGGGACAAAGTCATGAAGGAAAATAAATCGGATCGTCATTTGTATGATTGGGAAACAAATGGGGATTTTTGAGGGGAGTTGATGAGTCCATTTCAAGAAATTGTTGTCACTGAGATGAATGGTAACCGTACTGAGCAAGCCATCAATCTTGATGGAGGAAGAAGAAGTCATGATGAAGCAGAGACTGTATTTCTTAATCTTTCAAGCTACAACACTATTACACTCTATACAGTTGTCTAACTAATTCACATACCCTACTAACAACTCACGTGCCTTGCACACCTAACTCACTAACTGTTTACAATCATATCAATAGTTAACAGTTAGTGCGCTTTAAGTAGATCAACACCCCAATGCCGGTTAAAACAACATCACTTGCCAAAACTCCATCCTGTTTTCTGGGTTGTGGTTGTAACCGACTGGGTTTTGGTTCTGTGCCCAGAATCAAAGTAGTCCAGATGCAACCTTGAAACCTGAGGAAGAGATGGAGATGGAGATCGAGGCAGAGGCACAAGGAAATAAATCATACAATAGAAAATAATTACGCATAAAAAATAATTTAAAAAACTTTCCATTAACTTCTTGGGTAATATGATCCTGTCAATTACAAAGTTAAAATTTTCAATAAGAAAATACTCACAAATTTCAATAGGAAATCTACTATAATGATTTGGTGATGAGATGACTCAAATGAGAGAGCCATGCAGAGACCACCACCTGTCCCAAAGCCCCACATGTCACATTCTGGTGCATTCTTCACTTCGGTAGGTAGCAGACACGTGTCAGCATAAGCAGCAACATACGCTGCACATCTCCTTCACACAAGTAACATTTTTTACATATAAGACCGAAATAGTACATGGAGCTTCACATTTAAGACCAAACATAAATCTCAAAATATAGGAAAACCCTATGCAATCCAAATTCCATAAAACAGTCTAGTTCGACTATTCAATGGACCTACCAATACAAACAACACGTGAAAATTATACAATTTATAAAACTTGTGTGCCTCAATTTCAATAAGAAAGTTAGGAAGATATAGGGCTATTTGGGAGTGCTTATGGTGACATCCTACGTTTCTTAAGGAAGGGAATTTTCAAATATTAAGAAGACTTACCATGTTCTCATCATCAAATGCGGCGTCTATGAAGCGATTTGAAAAACCTAAAGTACAATACTCATTCAGTAACCCCTACTTACCACTTGTAGGAAACTTAAAGTACAATACTCACATGATATACATGCTAAGTCTAAATATTATATCAGTCACTATATATCAACTCATCGTTTATCTAAGTCATATGCATCATATTTGTGTCAATTATCTAGTGTATGTGTGACAACTAAGCTGCATGATGCTATTTCTGACCTCAAATGTGTGGATGCCATGAATGTTGAAGTGAAAGCTTTGAACAAGAATGAAACTTGAGATTTAGTCCCTTTCCAAGAGGGAAGAAAGTTGTTGGGTGCATGTGGATGTTTACTTTGAAGTATAAGGCTGACGGTTCTATTGACTGATACAAAGCTAGATTGGCAGATGAGTGTATAACAAGAGATCTCTACCCTCAGTAATAAGGGAGAATGCTATAATGATATGATTCAGGAGTCTTCAGCCGAAGCACTAATTATGAATGAGAATGGTAATTCCAATCATACTTGTATGAGTCATATAAGATTGGAGTTCACATTAGGAGCTTGACATGTTTTCCATGCGCTAATTATGTAACCACGAACATTGAGTTAGAGAATGACTGTATTACATTGTAATTGCAACTGAATAGGTTCTCCTCCACGTTCTACATTGGTTTGGATAACCGTGACATCTTGCAAGATGTCACTCACGGTTTGTGGAAGCCCTGAGGATATTCCATAATTATGTTCTCATAATAGGGAGAATTAAAAGGGGTTTTAATTCACAATCGATTAAGGAAGAGTTCAGATCGCCCATTGCCTCACTAATTAGAATCTAACGGAAAGATGAGAGATGAAAAATTAATTATGAGATGATTTGCAACTTCCTTCATGGTATTAGAGTGGGTTTGCCTACGTGTGAAAGCCCAACGGCCAACGTGCTCCACATTACCCAATATGAGTTGTCCACGTGTTACACTTGAAAATTCGACACACATGTTGGGGTGTGTGAAAATGTGAAGGTGAAAATGTCTCACATTGGAAAGTTAAAAAACCTAGCAATGGCTTATAAAGAGTTGGAGTACTCCTTCCATTAGTTTTGGGATGGAACCTCAACTTCCTTTAGAGTTTAGGATTTTAGGGTTTGACAAAGGTCTAAACTCTAAACCCTAAAGTCAATGTCTCATACACGTGCTCCACATCACCAAATAGGTGTTGTCTACATGTTACGCTTTAAATTCATCACACATGCGAGGGCATGTGATAATATAACATCACTAATTATTTTCTCCAAAATCCTTAAATTCATAAGAGGCCGTTTCGTATAGAGCACTCCTTCATAATGCATTGCTTTAAATCCCAAAATGTTGCTGCTTTCTCAAAAGTGATAAATGTCCATGCTGCATTTCCTTATCAAAAGAGTAAAACTGTAACACTAAAACTTAGAATAAATAAGTGTCACATACAAATAAAGGGTATATGAAACTAATTTTTAGAGTCATACTTACATATTTGGTATTTTATTATAATAATTTGAGGCTCTAAAAGCTTACGTATTGCCTTAGGATCAATAACATGTCTCATTTATGAAAAATATTGCGGTAAAATTATCATCGCGATATTTATTTGCAGTGGACAATTATAAGTTGTAATGATATTTTTATTTCATAATATCTTGAATTTTTAAGCGTATTGTTTATTAAACATGTCAACCACCTTTAAAAAGTTCTTAGATTCATCACCATGGTTGCCTACGTTAAGATTGAGAGGAGCTGAGCAGTTGAGCGAGAAGACAGAAGAAAATCGCAAATGAGAGACTATGCCTTCAAATGAATTAGTCAGGACTCCAATGTGGTGTTGCCGGTTCTATTGCAACATTATATAACCGACGCAATGACCAGTCAAAGAACGCCGAGTGTAAATAATAAAAATAAATTTGTGCTCTTCAAATTCACACAAGAAAACAAAAGAGTACTGCATATAGAATTTAACCGAGGCAATATTAACACAAAAGCTGAGATTTAAGCTGAAAATCTCTAAGGGGTTCACATAATAGTGACAACGAATTCATCATTCTCTACAAAATCATCCACGTTAATACTCCGTACTGTTTTCGGCACACTGCAAAGTTGCATTCAATAAATCTCTCTCGTTTCTTTTGGCAGTATACTCCTATGAGATCTGGTTAGAAGTCCAACAAAAGGCCAACTCTAATCTTCCTTTTCTCCAGATTTCTGCTCTCTGCTTTCGGCCTCACTGCTAGCATGATCAATCTGGTCGCCAGTAGCGACCGCAGGATGTTCATCTTCTCCTTTATTGATTGATCTAATAAGCATCATTACCACAACCACAAAACCAATTATGTATACAGTTCCAATCCCAATAATTGAAGACATAAAGCCCATAAACGATGGACCACCAATTCTTTCCTTTATTATTCTTCCTTCCTTATATCCTTCCAGGAACTGTGAGACTTGAGATGCCTGATCTTCCTCATCAATGCTTTCTGAACCATTCACCTATTTTACAAAATAATGTCAACTGTTTTGAATTTCTATCATGCAAAAGTGTCAAAAATACAAGTGAAGTAA